CTGGGGGCCACTTCCTCTGTCCTGGCTCTTACTCCAGGTGTAATTTGGTGATGCTCCCTTGGTGACATTCTCCTTGGCAGGGGAAGACCCTGTTGGAGTCAGGCTGGGCATGAAGGCCACAGGGCAGCAAGGATACATGTCTTGTCCTGGCAGCTGGCCCTCAAGTCCTGTTGTGTCCATGGTGACTCACCTGCAGAGTCCTGTGGAAAGAAGTAAGTGGCATGAGGCCGGGCACAGTGGCTCACGCCTCTAATCCCAGCACTTTGGGAGACCAAGGAGGGCAGATCACCAGAGGTCAGGAGTTCGAGACCAGCCTGGTCAAGATGATGAAACCCGTCTCCACTAAGAAGACAAAAAATTAGCCAGGTGTAGTAGTGGGTGCCTGTAGTCCCAGCAACTCCGGAGGCTGAGGCAGGAGAATCACTTGAACCTGGAAGGTGGAGGCTGCAGTGAGCTGAGATCATGTCACTGTACTCCAGCCTGAGCGACAAGAGGGAATCTCCGACTCAAAAAAAACAAAAAAAGGAAGTGCCATGAAGTCACCCCTGAAGTCACCCTGTTTGTCTCATTCCCAAACCTGTCCCTTATGATCTTAACCTCCTCGCCTTCAGTTAGGGCCCTGGGGAAATCCCATGACCTCTGAGCCTCAGTTTCCTCAACTACAAACTGGTAACAACAACAGCTCATATTTTGAAAGGCTGAACTGATCCACATAAAGTGCTCAGAAAGGAACATATCATCCTCTTTAACAGCTGAAGAAACTTTTCTGTCTTGTAAGTTGCAAGCTAGGAGCCAAACCCCGCTCTTGGGCCAACTCTGGGGCTTAACCAGACAATTTATTTTTGCCTTGTACCAAATTCCTATTCAGCTTGCAAAGCCCTAGCCACAGTGCCCTCTGTCAGGCAGCCTTGTGTGATGGCCCAGGGAAGAGTTTGCAGGACCCCCTTGGGTCCCGGTATCTGACGGTATTGTGGGTCTGGCTGCCTGCAAGCCAAGGGTTTCCCAGGGACCAGGGAAGGAGCCCTACCGTGCCTAGCAGCTCACTCCGCATCTCGCTGGTGTATCGCGCCCGTGATTGCAGATGCACCGTCTTTGTGGCGGGCACTCGCTCTCTGGCTGTGGTTGGTACACGGCCAGGGGCCAGGAACTGGTTGGCCAGTGCTTTCTCTGAGGAGGTGGTCTGCAGAAATGTGGGAAGAGATGTCACTGGTGGGGCAGGTCCTGGGGACCAAAGTAAGCAGTGATGGGGTCTGAGCGGGCAGGGACATCCCTGCTCACCAGCTTCTCGGCCTGCAGCATCCCCTTCAGAAAATCCACCTTCCAGGAATATTCATTGATCACTTCAGAGGCCGGTTTGCTAGAAGCCAGGAAGAAGAAAAACACCTGTCCACGGTCCCCCGCTCAGGGAAGGGTCCCAGCTGGGACTGCGGTCCTGGGATGTCCCAACAGAACAGCCACGTGCTGATATGAAAGCCCTGAGGCTGCCTGCACTCACCTCGCGTGGACCTTCAGAGCCTGCAGCATGTCCTCCAGGGCTCCCACGTACTGGGGAGGAAAAGTGGATTCTCACCCGGGGGTCCTTCCCAGGTCCTGCTCATTGGAGTCAGAGGGGGGCGGGGCCAGAACCGAGGCGGGGCCGACAAATGGGGAGGGGTCAAGCGTAAAGGAGTCAGGGCCAGGGGGGGGGGGGGGCGGGGTCCCAGGGACGGGGGCGGAAGCTACAGGTGGACGTGGCAGGACTGACCGGAAAGGGCGCGGCCAGAGATCCTCTTGGGGCTGGGGAGTTGGGCCAGATGGCTTCCGACCCTAGGAACCACCCCTGCGTGAGTCGAGCTCTACGCGGCAGTGCGAGATCCCCTCACCTTTTCCAGGCGCCACTCGTCCGGGTCTCGCTTCTCCGCTGCCATCGCCTCGCAGCGGGATAGCAGCCGCACCAGGTTCAGCTCCAGCCTTGACGCCGCCATTATTGCCAGGCCGTGTCCCGCCCCTTCCGCCGGCGCCATGTTAAGGGAGGGCGGAAATGCCTTCACGTGGTCTTCTGGGCCGACGTGTTTCCCCTGCTCCCGCTCGCTGGCCCATGTTTGTTTGGGGCGGAAGTAGTATCTTGTTTTGATGCGGGGCTCTGGGCCGGGAGGGGTGGTTCAGGGCTGTAATCCCAGCATTTTGGAAGGTGGAGGTGAGAAAGGATCGCTTGAGGCCGAGAGTTCGAGGCCAGTCCGGGCAACGTAGTGCTATCCTACCTCTATTATTAAAAAACAGGAGAGGCGCTACCCCATTCTTCCTTACTCATGGTTTTCCTGGAGAGCGTGTTAACCCTTCGAGAATGATCGGAGGACCGGAGTCTTCGGGTGTCAGACCCGCGTGCAGTGTGCTCTCTTGTTCTGATATGCCTGCTCAAAGTACCTTCCCCCACCCCCACTCCTGCCTAGATTCTTCTCTGACGGAGGCGTTTCGCCTCCACGCGCCATTCCCAATTTCGTTCCTTTTTTTTTTTTTTGAGACAGAGTCTCGCTTTGTTGCCAGGCCGGAGTGCAGTGGCACGATCCCGGCTCACTGCAACCTCCGCTTCCCAGGTTCAAGAGATTCTCCTTCCCTCAGCCTCTCGAGTAGCTGGGATTACAGGTGCCTGCCCCCATGCCCAGCTAATTTTTGCATTTTTAGTAGAGACGGGGTTTCACCATGTTGGCCAGGATGGTCTCAGTCTCTTGACCTCGTGATCCACCTGCGTCGGCCTCCCAAAGTGCTGGGATTACAGGTGCCAGGTACCGCTCCCGGCCCGATTTCTCTTGTAGGAGGGGCTGTAGCTTAGGATTTAGGAATCCAAGGCTTCCCCCACCTCGGAGGGGCTCGTCTGTATTGTTGTTATGAGTTTCGAGATCGCAGCTCCAGCTCTGACTCCATCCCTGGCCCTGGGTGAGTTTAACTTTTTTGGATCCGTTTCTTCTCCCCGGGAAATGGACAGTGTGTCAGTACCTCCCTCAAGGGGGACATGAGCCAGCTTTGCCTGAGAGTGAGCAAGGTGGGGCTGGGTCCCTCCTAACGCCCAAACCTCCATGGAGAGAACTTCCGAGCCCACCTCAGTATCGGGAAGCTGAGTATCCCTGCGCCTGCACTGTCACTCTTCTGGACTGACAGGGTGAGGATGGGGGCTTCACAGGGACCAGCGCCTGGCATGCAGCCCTCATCTTTTCCCACACCTTAGGTCATTTGTACCTTGTCACACCAGTGGGCCTGATGTCCTTGGAAAATACTGGGCAAGGTGGATGGGCAAGGTGGCTCACGCCTGTAATCCCAGAATTTAGGGAGGCTGAAGCCGGTGGATTATCTGAGGTCAGGAGTTCGAGATCAGCTTGGCCAACATGGTGAAACCCTGTCTACTAAAAATACAGAAATTAGCTGGGTGTGATGATGGGAGCCTGTAATCCCAGCTACTTGGAAGGCTGAGGCAGGAGAATCACTTGAACCTGGGAGGTGGATGTTGCAGTGAACTGAGATCACGCCACTGCACTCCAGCTGGGGCAACAGGGTGAGACTCTCTCAAAAAAAAAGAAAAGAAAAATGCTGGGCCGGGCGCGGTGGCTCACGCCTGTAATCCCAGCACTTTGGGAGGCCGAGGTGGGTGGATAACAAGGTCAAGAGATTGAGACCATCTTGGTCAACATGGTGAAACCCCATCTCTACTAAAAAGCACAAAAGAAAATTAGCTGGGCATGGTGGCGCACGCCTGTAGTCCCAGCTACTCAGGAGGCTGAGGCAGGAGAATTGCCTGAACCCAGGAGGCGGAGGTTGCGGTGAGCCAAGATTGTGCCATTGCACTCCAGCCTGGGTAACAAGAGTGAAACTCCGTCTCAAAAAAAGAAAAATGCCATGGAGGGTGGGGCACGGGGGCTCACGCCTGTAATCCCAGCACTTAGGGAAGCTGAGGTAGGTGGATCACTTGAGGTCAGGAGTTTGAGACCAGCCTGGCCAACATGGTAAACCCCGTCCCTACCTAAACATACAAAAATTAACCGGGTATGGTGCATGCCTGTAACCCCAGCTTTGTTTGGAGGTAGAGGCGGGAGAATTGCTTGAACCCAAGAGGTGGAGGCTGCAGTAAGCCAAGATCGTGCCACTGCACTCCAGCCTGGGTGACAGAGCGAGACTGTGTTTCAAAAAAAACAAACAGGCTGGGCGCGGTGGCTCAAGCCTGTAATCCCAGCACTTTGGGAGGCCGAGGCGGGTGGATCACGAGGTCAAGAGATCGAGACCATCCTGGTCAACATGGTGAAACCCCGTCTCTACTAAAAATACAAAAAATTAGCTGGGCATGGTGGTGCGTGCCTGTAGTCCCAGCTACTTAGGAGGCTGAGGCAGGAGAATTGCCTGAACCCAGGAGGCGGAGGTTGTGGTGAGCCGAGATCACGCCATTGCACTCCAGCCTGGGTAACAAGAGCGAAACTCCATCTCAAAAAACAAAAAACAAACAAAAAAACCCCCACGACAACAAACTATGGAGACCAAACCCAGGGTCCACAAAAGGGGCCTCTAGAGGCTGACAGGGCAGTCTAAATCCTAGCCATGCCCCTCCCAGCTGTGTGGCCCTGGACAAGCCCTGCAGCCTCCAGCATGTGTGGTCTGGACTTGGGTTCTTCATGTTCCCCCCAACCAACACCAGCCAGCCAGTTCCCTCGACTCCCATCCGATGGCAGCCTGGGAGCCCATCTGTCCCTGTTCTGCTGGGGCCACCAGGCACTGGTCCCTCCACCAGATGAGTGGCTGCTGTAGCGGACATTTAGATCTCAGCTGGGCACTGAAACAGGGAAGCCAGAGACGGCTTCCAGGATAGCAGGTGCTCCTCATCTGCTGGGAGCTCCCTGTTTGCTGGAGGGTCAAGGCAGATGTGAGGACAGTGTTCCACCCTTATCCTGCACCCCTCTTGGCTGAGGCCGCAGGCCAGACCCCCACCTGCCGGCCCTGCTCTTCCAACCCCGATCCCACGTGAGCAGGTGTCCCACGCACACACTTCTCAGGCACTTTTTATTTCTCGCGCTGTGCAGGGGGTTCCTTGTCCCAGATTTGTGGCCATGTGTCCAGGTGTCTGGTGGGCCGGGCCTGAGAGAGGAGGGCCCTGCCCCAGAGATACCCAGGCTGTCCCTGTTGACCTGTAAGGAGGTCTGACTTCAGGCTTTGCCCTTCTGGCCTGTGAGCAGTCCTGAGTCACAAGCTCCTGTTCTGTCACTCAGTGTGGGTAGTGCCAAGAGCAGCCTCCTGCAGCCAGCCCCTGGCGTCCGGAAGTGACAACCACATTCAAGTCTCCCTGGCACGTGAGGTCCGTGGTGCCCCTGTCTCATGTCCTGGCTCCAGCCAACAGCCCAGACCCCCATGGAAGGTTCCAGCATGTCCTCAAATGCACATCGGCCAGATGGCTGTCCCCTGGAGACACGTGTCACACAGGTGCAGATCAGGTAGCCCAAGTGTCCAAAACTCTCATGGAGGGTCCCAGCCCGCTGACTACCCCAAGCCAACCACGGCGGGAGTCTGAGCCTCAAGACGGGCAGTGGCCCGGTGGCCTCCGCTCTGACAGCTCACCTCCAGGTTACAAGGGAGACGGGCAGCGTTAATAGAAAACTGTACATACACATATAAAAACCATTTGGTCTTCCATTAAGGCTGTTACAGTTTAAAGTTACGTATACCACATACAAAGAAACAGTTAAACATACTCAAGGGGAGTGGGCAGCTGTGAGGCCACCTGCAGAGATGGGGCACTCCACGAGGGCACGTCGGCGATTTGGGGGCCGGGCGTGAGGGGGTCTGGCTCCAGCCGGCCTCTCCCTGCCTTGACTCTGCACTTGGGGCCGATGCCCACCTCACATTGCTCTTGAGCTTTTGATTCTGGATCCTTCTCTGAGGGCCAAACACGAGCTCTGCAGCTCTGGCGCTCAGCTCCGGCCCAGGGGTCCACCTCGGTCATGCGGACTGTCAGCTGTGGTCCTCAGCCATTGGCTTGGCCCGAGGCGGGGGGCAGGCAGTACATTGGGGGGTCCGAGTACCTCCGCTTGGCCCCAGGTAGCTGGCCGTCCTCGTCCAGTGGCTCCAGGGCGCCCTGTGATGGCAGGTCTGCCCCAGGTGCGATGTACACAGAATGTACCTGGTCCGGGCGGCGGGCAGGTGGCTCCCGGCGCCGCACTGGGGCAGCCGCCTCCCGGGCACCCGGTGCCCAGATGGGCAGGTGGGAGGGCAGGCCTGGTGGGAGCTTGATGTTGGCCGTGGGCATGATGGGGGTCCGCCGGGGGGTCTTCGCTCTGACTGTTACGAAGGACGACGGCCTTCGACGTGGAGGGGCGGCCACGGTGGGGAGGGGGCTCGGGGCGGGCGCGCCGGGGCAAGGGAGAGCAGGCGCAGGGGGCCCTTTTGAGAGACAGATGGCAGGGTTACTGCAGCTTTGGGGCCAGCAGCCAGAGGACCCTTGCCCTGGGGCCTGCTGGGATGTACGGGAAGGAGAAAAGCAGACGCTACCTTAATACTGACCTTCCGAGGCCCCCCGCCCGGCCCGCTCCTCCAGCAGGCTCTCGGTGCTGACCGATGTCTCTGAGTCCAGGTTCTCCTCATCTGAGCCCCTTGGGTCCAGCTCCGGCAACCGGTAGGTGATGTCCTCCCTGGGGGGAAAGGGTCTTGGTGTCCAAGGCCACCCCACCAAAAGTGCCAGGCCAGTGTGGAACAGAGCAGGCTGTCCTGCTCGTAAGGTGACTCCCTGTCACCAACCTCCCACACCCCAAGCACATCTGACTTGAAACACTCCGGGATTCCTGAAACTCATCAGGCAAGGGTGTCAGGCCTGCGGCCCCCAACACTGAGCCACCAATACGTTCCTGCCTCGGGTACTCTGTAAATTCGGTTCGCTCAGCCTGGAGCACTGCTCCCTGTTCCTAGTTCCTAACACTAAGGCGGCAAAGCAAACTGGGCACACCTGTTCTCCTGGTATTAATTTTTTTTTTGAGACGGAGTTTCACCCTTGTTGCCCAGGCTGGAGTGCAATAGCGTGATCTCAGCTCACTGCAACTTCCGCCTCCTGGGTTCAGGCAATTCTCCTGCCTCAGCCTCCTGAGTAGCTGGGATTACAGGCACGTGCCACCATGCCCAGCTGATTTTTTGTATTTTTAGTAGAGACGGGGTTTCACCATGTTGACCAAGATGGTCTCGATCTCTTGACCTCGTGATCCACCCGCCTCGGCCTCCCAAAGTGCTGGGATTACAGGCGTGAGCCACCGCGCCCGGCAACTTTCTTTTTTTTTTTTAAGTGATGGGGGACTTGTTGCCCAGGCTGGCTGGCTGGCTGGCTGGGTTCATTCATTCATTCGAGATGGAGTCTCACTCTTTTGCCCAGGCTGGAGTGCAGTGCCGTGATCTCAGCTCACTGCAACCTCTGCCTCCTGGGTTCAAGTGATCTGTCCCTGCCTGCACGGCCAGGTGGCCACAGTCAGGCTGCTTGTGGCCAACGGTGTGGTGGGAGTGGGTGGGGGAACTGGGGAGGCCCCTCCCTGCTACCCAGCCTCCCGAGTAGCTGGGATTACGGGCATGCGCCACTATACCCGGCTAATTTTGTATTTTTTTTGTAGAGACGGGGTTTCTCCATGTTGGTTAGGCTAGTCTCAAACCTCATGATCTGCCTGCCTTGGCCTCCCAAAGCGCTGGATTGAGCCACGGAGCCCGGCCCCAGCATTAATTTTTAATGGTGCCTCTTTCACACTGACACCTCGATTGGGTGATGAGTCACCCTAGCTAAGATCAACTTTAAAGAAAAAGTTGGGACATTGCATGTCACTCCTCTCCCCCGTGGGCCACTGTGGTCAAGCATGGTGTTTAAGCAGAGCCTGCATGGTGTATTCTTGGTGGAGTTCAAGGACACTGCCGTCCCGTGCAGTATTGTTTGCCCTGGTCCCCGGGTGTGGAGGCTCATCCCTATTATCCCAGCACTTTGGGAGCCCAAGGCAGGAGGACTGCTTGAGCCCAGGAGTTTAAATCCAGCTTGGGCCAGGCGCTGTGGCTCACGCCTGTAATCCCAGCTCTTAGGGAGGCAGAGGCGGGAGGATAGCTTGAGCCCAGGAGTTCAAGACCTGTCTGGGCAATACAGCGAGACCCCGTTCTCCACAAAAATGAAAAAAACAAAAAGACAAAAAAAAATAATAATAAATCCAGTTTGGGCAACATAGGCAGACCCCGTCTCTACAAAAAAATAAAAAAAATTAGCCAGGCCTGGTGGTGTGCGCCTGTGGTTCTGGCTACTGGGGGGGCTGAGGTGGGAGGACCCCTTGAGCCTAGGGGATTGTGGCTGCCGTGAACCATGATCCCACCACTGCAATCCAGCCTGGGTGACAGAGCATGATCCTGTGTCAAAAATAGAGGCCAAGCACGGTGGCTCACGCCTGTAATCCCAGCACTTTGGGAGGCCAAGGCAGGTCAATCACTTGAGATCAGGAGTTGAAGATCAGCCTGGTCAACGTGGTGCAACCCTGTCTCTGCTAAAAACACAAAATTAGCAGGGTGTGATGGCGGGTGCCTGTAATTCCAGCTACTTGGAGGCTGAGGCACAGAATTGCTTGAAGCCAGGAGGCAGAGAATACCGTGAGCCGATATAGCGCCACTGCACTTCCAGCCTGGGTGATAGAGCGAGACTCCATCTTAAAAAAAAAAAAAGTATTGTAATCCCAGCACTTTGGGAGGCCGAGGCGGGTGGATCACGAGGTCGAGAGATCGAGACCATCCTGGTCAACACGGTGAAACCCTGTCTCTACTAAAAATACAAAACATTAGCTGGGCATGGTGGTGCGTGCCTGTAATCCCAGCTACTCAGGAGGCTGAGGCAGGAGAACTGCCTGAACCCAGGAGGCGGAGGTTGCGGTGAGCCGAGATCGCGCCATTGCACTCAAGCCTGGGTAACAAGAGCGAAACTCCGTCTCAAAAAAAAAAAAAGTATGCTTGCCCAGTGTTAGGGATGACAGGACCAAACCTAGCGAGGCCAAGTGGACCACTAGGGACGGCACCTGCTCTCCAGCTTGCCCTAAACATGGAGGATTGAGGGAAGGGGACAGGGCCACTTGCTTCTCCTCCTTGATGGACTGGATGCGTTCAATGAGAATCTCCTTCTCCCGGTCCTCGTCGCCACCAGCCGCCTCCTCCTCCAGCAGCACCTCCAGCTCCTCCCCCTGGTTCTCCCGGGCCTTGGGACTCTTGTTCTGAAACAAAGAAGCAGGGGGTCCAACTGACACTTCCGGGTGGGCAAAGTTAGTGCTGGAGGTGAGCGCAGATTGCAGGAGGTTAGTTCTGATGTGCACGTGCTGGGCTCTTAGTGAGACTTCTCTAGGAATCCCACGGGATAGGTCATGTGACCGATTAGTCATCCTCAGCGCAGAAGGTCAGCAGGCAAGGGATGTCCCTAGCATGCACTTCTGGAAGGTTAGGACAGGCTCCGTCTATCCTACGAGGAGTCCAGGGCCCCAGGGAACCCCAGCATGCACTGCACCGGGAGACATGCACCGTGGGCCCCCCGCACGCGTACATACCAGGACTCCCTCATAGGGAGATGAAAACCCCAGTTTGAGAGGCCATGGCTGGGAGAGAGATGAACACAGGGTGACCACATGGGCCGAGACAGACATAGGCATGAGCTGGGGACACATCCAACGACCCGCACCAAGATGGGGGGGGAGTCCCTGGTTCCCACAGGAGCCCAGAACCTGCTCTCCACTAACGTACCCCTGCACTGTGGGCCTGATTCTTCTGCTATGAGAACATTTCCCTGTGGGGAGGGCCCAGGTCAGAAGGGACAAGGCTGGACTAATGACCTGAACCACCAGCAAGTGGCCAACCGGCCCCGCTACCTGCCCCATCTAGAGGGACACGATTGGAATGAGGCTGAGCGAAGACCATGGTCTTTGTTCAAGGCAGGAGGTCTGTCCCGGCCTGCATGGCCAGGTGGCCCCGGCCAGGCTGCTTGTGGCAAACCGTGTGGCGGGAGTAGGCGGGGAACTGGGAAAGGAGGCCCCAGACCACACCCACTGCCCAGTCCCACCCTCGGCATGGGAGGTCCTGCCCACCCAAGGCCCCTCCCACCAAGACCCCGCCCACCAGCCTTCCCAGCAACAAAGCCCAGCTCAGCACCAGAGACCCTGCTCACCAAACGAGGCCCCGCCCCCTCGATCACCGATACTCACAGCATTTTGTCGAAGAAGCGACAGCCTGCGGAAGGCGATACTCTCTGCAGCCTCCAGTTGGCTGATCTCTTCCATCTTCACCTTGTATTTCCTCATCTGCTCCTTGATCAGCATTTCCACGCACCTGCAGAGAAGGCCCACGGGAAGAAGTGACTCAGTTACGGCTCTGAGGACGTTTGACATCCAGGGAGGTGCTAGCTGGTACCTGGGGGGCAGTGGCTGAAGCCCAGAGACCAAGCAGTGCCTGGGACACGGCTGTGTGACCTTCGGCAGCTCACTCTACCTCTCTAAGCTCAATGCAACCTCCGCCCCCTGGGTTCAAGCAATTCTCCTGCCTCAGCCTCCTGAATAGTTGGGATTACAGATGCCTGTCACCACATTTGGATAATATATACACGCACACACACACACACACATATATATATCCATATATATACTTACTTTAATTTTTTTTTTTAGCTGGAGTCTCACTCTGTCACCGAGGCTGGAGTGCACTGGCACGATCTCAGCTTACTGCAGCCTCTGCCTCCCAGGGAACTGACATTATAGGCACGTGCCACCATGCCCGGCTAAGTTTTTTTTTTTTTAGATGGAGTTTCATTCTTGTTGCCCAAGCTGGAGTGCCATGGCACGATCTTGGCTCATTGTGACCTCTGCCTCCCGGGTTCAAGTGATTCTCCTGCCTCAGCCTCCCGAGTAGCTGGGATTACAGGCATGTGCCACCAGGCCTGGCTAATTTTTTGTATTTTTAGTAGAGATGGAGTTACTCCATGTTGGTCAGGCTGGTGTTGGAACTCCTGACCTCAGGTGATCTGCCCACCTCGGCCTCCCAAAGTGTTGGGATTATAGGCATGAGCCACTGCACTCGGCCTAATTTTTGTATTTTTAATAGAGACAGGGTTTCACCATGTTGGCCAGGCTCGAACTCTTAACCTCAAGTGATCCACCCACCTCAGCCTCCCAAATTGCTGGGATTACTGGCATGAGCTACCGTGCCCGGGCTAATTTTTTTTTTTTTTTGAGACGGAGTTTCACTCTTGTTACCCAGGCTGGAGTGCAATGGCACGATCTCGGCTCACCGCAACCTCCGCCTCCTGGGTTCAGGCAATTCTCCTGCCTCAGCCTCCTGAGTAGCTGGGATTACAGGCACGCGCCACCATGCCCAGCTAATGTTTTGTATTTTTAGCAGAGACGGGGTTTCACCATGTTGACCAGGATGGTCTCGATCTCTTGACCTCGTGATCCACCCGCCTCGGCCTCCCAAAGTGCTGGGATTACTGGCATGAGCCACCGCGCCCGGGCTAATTTTTAAGTCTTCTGTAGAGACAGGGTCTCACTACGTCGCCCAGGCTGGTCTCAAACTCCTGGCCTCAAGTGATCCTCTTGCCTTAGTCCCAAAATAGCTGGGACTACAGGTGTGATCCGTTGCACTTGGCTCTGGACTTTTCTGACACATTGATGTACACAGCGTATGGAGCTGTCGTGGGGTCCCCGGTGGGGCTGCCCTGAGCTTGCCTCTGGGGCGGGGCGGGCACTCACGTGGTGATCTTGAGGACATCCTTCATGCTGGTCAGCGGGTCGGAGCTGTCGGGGCAGCGCAGGAGGCAGGGTGCGAAGATGATGGCCAGCGCCCCGGGCGACATGCGGTTGACTTCCTCCAGCAGGGCCACCCTGCACAGCCACTGGCAGTTAGGGGACGGCTGTGGCTGAGGGAGGGAGGGCCCAGGGAGCCCTGAGACTGAACTTCTGAGCCCTGGGGTGGCTATTGGGACAGCGGTGCCGCAGCCCAGCACTGGGAAATGCTTCTGAAGCACAGAGAGGTGACTCAAGGGACCCAGGCGGCCCAGCAGCCCAGTGGGCATGGCCCTCTCCCACAACCCCGGCAGTGGTCCTCGAAACCACCACAGAATGCCAGCCCGGGTCCTACTGGGACATGCTGCCTTGGGGGTTCCCAATGCGGACCCCAACCCCACAGAGGGCAGGTGGGAGGCACTTGCTTGACAAGGTGGAAGATGAGTCTCTCCAGGGAGTTGTGATTGGCTTGTGGAAGGTGCTCCAGGACAGCGTAGATGGCAGCCAGCTGCTCCTGCTTCTCCGGCAGCTCTGTCGGGGATGGGGTTTGAGGGCGTCGGCTCCCAAGGGTCCCCAAGGTGCCTGTGGTCCCCACCCACACGACCTGAGATACATGGGTGCCACCCACCGTGTGGTGCCCAGGCAAGAATGGATGGCTATGGTGGTGTCTCGGACCCACCCCACACTGGGGACCTGCATTGGCTGGGCTGACTGCTTCTGGCCTCCGTTTCTCAGCTTGTGAACCAGGTGGTCCCGCCTCCCTGGCTGGCCACAGTGAGTGCTGCACCCTGACCGGGGCTGCCTGCTGCCGCCCGCACCACCGTGGGGCTCACCGACGGCTCGGAGGAAGTCGCCGTACTGTGCGAAGGTCATGAGGGGCTCCGGCAGCTCCCGCAGCCACTGCTTCAACACCCCCGTGATGGCGTGGATGGGGAAGTTCTCCAGCTTGACTGCTGCAGGGTCTGGGAGGTGGGCGGGGTGGGACTGATGAGTGGCATGCTGGCGGGACGGCTGAACCAGGGGCCTGGCACTGTGCCCACCTACCCGCAGCACCCACCTGTTTGCAGCGCCTGCCTGAGCTCCCGAGTGCGGTTGGCGGCGCCCGACTTGCGGTAGAGGCCCTCGGTGTACAGGCCATGCATCTCCACGTGTTCCAGGAGCTTCTCCAGCACGATGGGCACCGAGGCCTTGTCGCTGGTCAGGCTGTCCACGCACACGCCGAAGTGGCCCGGCTCAGCGCCCGACTCGCCCTGCGGTGCCGGGGGTCAGGTCTGGGGCTGGTTGTCTTCCTCTCCGGCCGTCTCTGGGGGTCCCTCCCTCCTGGTCCCACACCAGGCCCTCGGGGCTTCCTGTGCATGTTCTGTCCCTCCCTGTCCCCTTCTGCATGGCTGTCAGGGATACGGGGCTGCAGAGATCAGCTGAGGCCAGTGTGGCAGCCTGACTCTTGCTGCACCCCTAGCACTCAGGACCCCACTGTCCTTATGCACAGAGTTGAGGGGCCTCCTTCTGCGTGGCTCAGGGCTCTCTCAGGAGCAAGGATAAGCAGGGCTGGGGGAGCTGAGACACAGGCACAAATCTGGGCCCTGCCTGGGGGCTTCAAGGGGTTTGGATAGAACCAGGGACAAGGGAGTGTTCTGCAGAACCAGAGACCACAGCCGACCCCTGCTGGCTGCCCAATGCCTCGCTTGGCCCTCATACCAAGCACCACGTCCCTGTGCACCTGGCCCTGAGTGGAGTGTCATTCTAGAAAGTTCCAGGCCTCGAGCACTCACCTTCCTCCCGTAGGTGTAGGAGCAGTGGCTCTGAATCTTGTGCACGCACTTCTTGTGGCAGGTCATTTTACACACTAGGAGGTCACAGGGTGGGAGTCACAGAGGGTGCTGGGGACCCCAGGTTCCTGGAGCCGCCCACCCAGCTGGCTGGGGACCGCAGACTGCCTTCTTATTTATTTTTGAGACGGAGTTTCGCTCTTGTCACTGAGGCTGGAGTGCAATGGCACGATCTTGGCTCACCACAACCTCCATCTCCCGGGTTTAAGCAATTCTCCTGCCTTAGCCTACCAAGTAGCTGGGATTACAGGCATGCGCCACCACGCCCAGCTAATTTTATATTTTCAGTAGAGACAGGGTTTCTCCATGTTGGTCAGGCTGGTCTCGAACTCCCAACCTCAGGTGATCTGCCTGCCTTGGCCTCCCAAAGTGCTGGGATTACAGGCGTGAGTCACCACGCCCGGCCCGGACTGCCTTCTTTTTGATTTCCTTTTTTTTTTTAATTTTTGAGACAAAGTCTCACTGTTGCCCACGCTGGAGTGCTGTGGTGCAATCTTGGGGCTCACTGCAGCCTCCACCTCCCAGGTTCAAGTGATTCTCCTGCCTCAGCCTCTTGAGTAGCTGGGATTACAGGTGCCTGCCACCATGCCCAGCTAATTTTTATATTTTTAGTAGAGATGGGGTTTCACCATGTTGGCCAGGATGGTCTCAATCTCCTGACCTCAACTGACCTGCCCACCTCGGCCTCCCAAAGTGCTGGGATTACAGGTATGAGCAACTGGGCCCGGGCCTGAAGATCTCTTGAGCAGTGAGGGGTGGTGGGGGACGTGGAGGGGTTTGGGGCCTGGGGGAGCTACTCACCGCTGCAAAGCAGGGCCTTGTCCATGAGCCAGATGTAGGAGAGGCACTGCTCGCACGACTGCGGGATGCTCACCTGATAGCTGGCGAACACGTGCCCGTTGTGCTCCTGGACCTGTGAGGCCAGAGGAAGGTGCTGAGCGGGGGAAGGGGAAAGCAGCCCTCCCTGGCCACTGGTGGATAATGGTCCACGGGATCTCAGGGGTGGGTCGGCTATTCAAGACTACAGCTGCTTGTGTACTGGGGGAGAAAACCCACTTGCACGTATACACACACACATCCACGTGCACATCGGCCCATGTACACGCTGACACTGACACCCACGTGCATGCTCCCGCCAACGCTCGCCTGCTTAGCTCTCACCCACGTGCAGCCTACTCACAGCGCGCTCCTGCTTCCGCTTCTTCTTCTGAGCTTTGCTCTGCTGTGACGGACAAGGAGGAGGTCAGCAGGGAGGAGAAGAGGCCCTGGGATGAGCCCCAACCCACCCCTGGCACCCCATACCCAGGCGTCTGGGTACCTTTAGCCTTTCCGTGCCTGGAGTGGCATCATTGTCCCTATTGCCCCCCAATTCAGACACCCCAGACCCAGAAATGAGTCCCTGTGTGTCGGGGGGGTGGGGAGGGTGCAGGGCTCCCCACCAGGAGGTAGGGATGGCGCAAATGGGCGTGACATGGTATAGGTGGGTGTGGCATGTGCTCATGGCAAGACACGGGTCAGTGTAGCATGTTGTATGTCATAGGTGTGGCATGTCATAGGTGGGCATGGGGTATCTGATCATGGCATGGCACAAGTGGGTGTGGTGTGGGCAGTGCATGGGTGGGTGTGGCATGTCATAGGTGAGTGTGGCATAAGATCATGGGGAGGCATGGGTGAGTGTGGCCAGTCAGGTGGGTGTGGCAAAATGATAATGGCATGGCATGGTGGGCGTGGCATGTCATAGGCAGGGCACAAGATCATGGAGACGCATGGGTGGGCGTGGCTAGTCATAGGTGGGTGTGGCATAAGATCATGGGGAGGCATGGGTGGGTGTGGCCAGTCAGGTGGGCATGGCAAAGTGATAATAGCATGCCATGGTGGGCGTGGCATGCCACAGGTGGGCGTGGCATGCTTGGGCTGCCCACCTTCACTGTCTCGAAGTCATTCTTGGTGTAGCCGCGGGTGAATTCATCTAGCAGCGACTGGAAGAGGTTGAGGACCAGGTTGGTGTCCTTCTCACCCCGCTCGGTGGCCAGGTTGCTGACGACGATCTGGTAGTTCTCCATCAGATCCTTGTAGCCCACGTGGATTTTCCCATTCTGTGGGAATGCCAGGCATCACCCTGAGGGCCTGGGCGAGGGGCGGACAGAAATGACAGGTCGGGGGAGGGCATCGGAAAAGCTGAGGGCCGGGCCACCACGTACCGGGACGGAGTACATGGTTTTGATATTGCTCCTGAACTTCTCGGTGGCCTCGATGAACAAGCTCTCGATGGGCGTCTTCTGGGAACGGAGGTCATTTATCTGGAAGGAGAGAGCAGCTGACTCTGCGTGCCTCAGGCCTGGGGACCTGCGTGCCCGAGGAGGTTCCCAGGGGTCACTTCTTCACTTCTGTCCTCTCTAAGTCATCCCCTTGGCTCTTGGGATAAAATCCAGCTCCTCTGGCCAAGCCTGATGTCTCATCGTTTCAACCCAGAGTTAAAGCTACTGACATTGAGGACAGGACTATTCTCCACAGCGGGGTCTGCCCTGTGCACCACAGCGGGTTAAGCAGCATCCCTGGCCTCTGCCCAGCAGATGCCAACAGCACCCTCCCCCCAGGTGGTGAATAACCCCAAATGTCCCCAGACATTGCCAGTGTTCCCTGGAGGACAGAATGCCCCCTAGATGAGAGCTACAGGTCAGTTCAGGTCCTTTCCGCTGCCCCACACAGGGGTTCAGTACCCAACCATACCCTAGGACGCGGAGGCCTTGAATGGCCTGGTCATTTCAAGATGCCTCTACTCCTAGGAGGGTTTCCTGATCCTTCTGTGTCCCCATCGGCCCCATGTGCAGCTCCCAAATGGAGCTCTATCTGTTGCAAGATTGCCCACCCTCCACCCCCATAGGGTATAACCCTCCTGAGGGCAGCCACAGCCTGTTCGCCTCCACTTCTCTTGCACACTGTGCTTCATCAATCTTTGCTTTGACACCATGTGCCTTATTATTTTTCTGAGCCAGGGTCTTGTTCTGTCACCCGGGCTGGAGTGCAGTGGTGCGTTCATGGCTCATGGTTCCTTGACCTGGGCTCAAGCGATCCTCCTGCGTCAGCCTCCCCAGGAGCTGGGACTACAGGTTTGCACCATCACACCAGTGGATTTTTAAACCTTTTGTAGAGATGGGGTCTCTCTGTTGCCCAGGCTGGTTTTGAACTTCTGGGCCAAAGTGATTCTCCCACCTTGGCCTCCCAGGGTGCTGAGATGACAGGCATAAACCACTGTCCCCGGCCTGAACTTTGTATTCTTTTTATTTTTTAAATTTTTGTTTGAGATGGAGTGCTTCTCTATCACCCAGGCTGGAATGAAGTAGCGCCATCTCAGTTCACTGCAACCTCTGCCTCCTGGGTTCAAGCGATTCTCCTGCCTGAACCTCCCGAGTAGCTGAGACTACAGGTGCGTGCCACCACACCCGGCTAGCTTTTTGTATTTTTAGTAGAGACAGTGTTTCACCATGTTGGCCAGGATGGTCTCAATCTCCTGACGTCATGATACGCCCGCCTTGGCCTCCCAAAGTGCTGGGATTACAGGCGTGAGCCACCGCACTCGCCCTGACTTGGTATTCTTGACCTGATAAGCCCTGGGGTGTGTTTCAGAAAACACTGGCTGGCTGTGATGGTTGCCCTGGGTGCCCAGCCTCGTGCCCCTGGCCCTTGCCTAGCGGTCCTACCTTATTCAGTAGGAACTCGTCCAGGTACTTGAGCTCATTGGCATTGGTGATCTGGCGGAATACCGATTCCCGCCACTTCTCTGACACCGTGATTTTCCCAATCTTGACGTTTCGGTTCTTCTTCCCTTTGCTTCCGGGTTCCTTGGTGCGCTTCTCACCTGCAGTGTGGCGGTGCTGGTTTCCAGAGGGGACTGTGGGGGGACAGGAAGCAGCCGGTGAGAGCGGGTTCGGGGGAGGATGCAGAAGACCTTTTATGGCACGCCTTTATCCAGAGCCAGAAACCCCCGGCTCTGAGCCTAGGGCTTGGCCCACAGCCAACTCACGGCTTGGTCTGGGGACACTGAATGTCCCCAGGGGCACTGGTGGCTCTGCTTTCTGTCCCTGAGGCTGCAGGTGACCAACCTTCCAGGCTCTTCTTCATGGTGGTGGCTTCCGGCACCACGTGCCCAGACACTGCATTCTCCAGCTCCTCTGCACCCTCCAGGCTGTATTTTTTATCCTTGGTTTTATGCAGAAAAAGCCTCTTAAACGTGGATCTGCAGGAGAAAGTACGTGACTTATTTCAAGTCTGAAAAGAACATGGGCCAGGCGCGGTGGCTCAAGCCTGTAATCCCAGCACTTTGGGAGGCCGAGGCGGGTGGATCACGAGGTCAAGAGATCGAGACCATCCTGGTCAACATGGTGAAACCCCGTCTCTACTAAAAATACAAAACATTAGCTGGGCATGGTGGCGCGTGCCTGTAATCCCAGCTACTCAGGAGGCTGAGGCAGGAGAATTGCCTGAACCCAGGAGACGGAGGTTGCGGTGAGCCGAGATCGTGCCATTGCACTCCAGCCTGGGTAACAAGAGCGAAACTCCGTCTCA